TGGCATATGGAGTTCAAATCCGAAAACATGTAACAAGAATAGAAGATCTGAGAATGAATCTCAACTTTGTTGAATATCAGTCTTTGTTCAAATAGAGTTTTTTCTTTGTCTTAGTGATAATTTAAGCTCTTTCATGAGTTGTCTATTCTATTGTGTTGGTACTCTTATGTTCATCTTCAAAGTATGTTTTAGGCTTTTAGTTAATCATGTTGTTCTGTAATTAAGTCGAAGAATTTTTGTATTTGGACCTCAAAAGGATGTGAATGCTTCTTTAATATAGGTTTAAATCAGTAGGGCATATCATGATGGTTTGGTTCAAATTCGTTTAAGTTAAATGTCTGAATTCTAGTTCATGATTATTATGTAGCATGATTACATTGTTTTGAGTTCTTCTTCCTGTTTTTTTTTCGAACTTGGTTCTGAGTTTGCATAGTTTTGGGAATGATAATTCGAGCAGGAAATTACATGTTTTATGAGCATTGCATATTTAAGTTGGATAAGTATTGAGTGTGGTATGAGATTGACTACTTAGCAGGTTCGAATCCCAGGTGTCTATTTCTATTAAAAATGTTTCAAAAGGATATACAACATGTCTTTAGGGCGCTGAAATTTCAAAATACTGCATTTACTTTATTACAATGTGCTGATTCAATCGTTAGAGTTTACTCAAGCTCCTTTGATTCATTGGGTGCCGGATATGCAGTAGGGATTCGATGTTGGGTTTTGACTCAGCAGCTGCAGGGGCTTTGAATTTGGTCCTGTTTTTGAGGCCCAGTTCTGAAGGCTTCTTTAAATCAGAGCCGGGCCATTTCTTTGTTGGGCCACCAATCCTCTTGTGTTGGCTCAGGCCTTTTTATGCAATGAATTAGTTTTCCCTCATATAATCCATCCTAGTTAGTTTAAATAAAATCTTTAATTACATTTAGTATTGATTAATCAGACTTTTAACTAGTGGAGGTGAGCCGTAGTAGATAACACAAATGGTTATGGCCCTCCGAATTTTAGTTTGAATACCCTTTAAAATAGAATTGAGGTGCGCCGCGCCAAATAAAATCTCAAATGCGTGGCCCTCCCTTAATTATTTCTTTTAAAATCCTTAGACTTCGAGGCGTGCCATTTAGCAAATTTTCATGGTCCTCGCAAAGTTAAAAACGCGTAGTTGCTTTAGGCGCGTTATTTTGATAATGTTACTTTCCTAAACTCGGGTGTGCATTTCATGTGACCCAAATCCAAATCTCAACAACGTTAGACAAAACATGTCGTGGACCGCGGGTGCATTTCATGTGACGTGGTTCAAAACATATTTTAGATAACGTTGAATCTTCCTAAAAAATAATTTAAAAGCGGTTAATAAGTTAAAATACACCATAGGCTAAAATATGTATTAAAATCAGATAATGGGCCAATTATAATAGTTTAAGCGGCCGTGCTAGAACCATGGAATCCGGGGGTGCCTAACACCTTCCCTCGGGTTAACAGAATTCCTTATTCAGAATTTCTGGTTCGCAGACTTCAAAAGTAAAGTCGAAATTTCCTCGATTTGGGATTTAAAATAAACCGGTGACTTGGGACACCAAATAAACTATCCCAAGTGGCGACTCTGATAAATAAATAATTCCATTTCGAATAATGTCACTTAAATTGGAAAAACTCCCTTATATACTATCCTTCGGGGTGGTGTGTAAAAAAGGAGGTGTGACAATTGAGTTATGATGTTCTTTACGTTTATTTATTGGTTTTCTGTGGTTACTTGATTTTATGGTGATGTTATTGATTCCCTTGCCCAAATTGCTTTGTGATTGTTGCTTGGGTGAGGAAGAGTGTAAAGCACGAAGGGTGATGCCGTGCATGATATTTGTGAGAGAGTGTAAAGCACGAAGGGTGATGCCATGCACTTGTCTTTGATTTCCTGATTCTTGCTGATAATTCATTTATAGTGTTCTTTACATTTATCTATTGGAATTCTGTTGTTACTTGATATTTCCCCGCAATATGTTTCCCCTTCCCATCTTTAACTGCTAGTTTATGTCAATATTACTTGCTGTATGTGATATAACTGCACAGGTTTAATTGGTAGTCTTGTCCTAGCCTCGTCACTACTTCGTCGAGGTTAGGCTAGACACTTACCATCACATGAGGTCGGTTGTGCTGATACTACACTCTGCACTGTGTGCAGATCCCGGTGCTGTAGCTTTTGGACCACAGTGAGGTTGCTGCCTTCAGTCCAGTGACGGAGATCCGAGGTAGTCCTGCAGGCGTCTGCAGTCCTTGGCGTCTCCTTCTATCTTTCCATACTGTTTCTTTTATGTACTTCAGAAATAGCGTTGTATTTATTTTTCGGACCCCTATTTGTAGTATTCTTAGATAGTCCGTGAGATTGTGACACCAGTTCTGGGTAGCTTATGTTTATGGATTAGTATCAGTATTATTATTAAATTGTTACATTTCATTCTTCCGCTTTATTATTTCCGCTGTTTATATAATGTTTATTCACAATTGTTAAGGGATTAAAAAAAGCGAAAAAGGTTAAATAACTGGAATAATTGGCTTGCCTAGCTTTCACTAGTAGGCGCCATCGCGATTCCCGAGGGTGGAAAATTCGGGTCGTGACACAATTGATACATATTTTTCAAATTAATAATATTTAGTTTAATTATTTCTAAAACTAAAAATATACTTGTTGTAATAACATCATGTAATGCATGTTTGATAAAATAAATTAATATTTATAAATATAATATCATACATTATTCAAATATTTGACAAAACTAATCTATCAATTCTAAGTTTCTAACTAAACAATGAACAACATACAATGTGAAATAACAAAATATAACACAATTTCAAAATCCAAAAAAAAAAAGAAAGAGTTTTACATTGTCAAATTCCAACATAATAAAAATAAGTTCCAATACAACTTAACATTAGGAAACATAATAAGTTTATAACCTTATTCAACAACGAAATTTAATTTAATGACATCACTCATTATATGCGAGTTCGTTAATGACTCAACAACAACAACAACTACCTAGTGAAATCGCACAAGTGGGATAATGACTCATTATTTCTAATATTAGGTGGTGTAATTTCAAAAACTAGAATAATAACGCAAACGCAAAATAAAAACTAAAAAAAGAGATTAAAAAGTAAAAAATAAAATCAAAAATTTAAATCAAAAGAGAATAAAATAATGGACATAAAAAGTTACAAAGAAAATAAATTAAAATAAAAAGAAAAAGGAAAGAAATTAAAAAGTTACATTGTAATTACACAGTGTAACTACCACCAATTCTCACCTCCTCCTCCTAGAGAATTGAAGAGTGACCAAATTTCATGCTGACCAACTAATTACTTGACCAAGCCAAACATACCAAATTGTGCAGTTGCACCCCAATCACATCCAAATCCAATTCTTAGGTGGTTTTCCAAACATGCTCTTACAAAGTATGAGTCACGTATTAATTTATTTTTGGAATTTTTACCTCCTATAGCAAAGGTTAACACCATATTTATTTTAAATAAATACCATTTAAAAAAAATTATATTCTATAGATACCTTTTAAGGTTTATAGCAAAATATTTAATTTTGGTTATCTCCTAGCCCTAAGCCACTAAATACGCTAATCGGTTACACTATTTTCTTTCTCTCTCTACTTTGATACATCTCATTCTCTTCCCCATCCCATTAAAATTTCCGATCTCCTCCTCCTTCCACCGGATTTGTGCAAAGCCCACTTCAAAAATTGCTCCAGCTCCCGCATCTGGTTGAGAGAAACCCAGTTCAAAAACCTCTTTGTCTAAAGTTTCTGATCCTAAAATCTCTCTTCTTTAAGCTTTGATTTTGATAGTCACAACATATGAGGCTTATCCTGCTATTCACCGCAAGTTCCCTAAGATTTTATTGCAATTTGGTGGTTTTAGAAATTTGAAGCCTTTGGTGTGATTGGCCTTTGAGAATTTTGGTGGGTTACATCTTTGGTTTTGGTTGGATTCTTGAATCAAGACAAGAATAATAGGTTTCGACTTTTTCTATGTTTTGAATTCTTCTGGGACCTTCGTCTGTGGTGGTAGTTTCAGCTACGTTAGAGTTCACCCGATTGAAGGATTGTTTGGTTTTAATTGGACCGCCAAAATTCTTAATCGTAGATTTCATTATTTGCTTACCACACAAATCACGGTAGCAAGCAATCAAGTGATGTCCTTATCAAAGTCAAACAGAGTGTAAAGAATCTTCAAATACAGCGAGATACATTCAAATTGCTTATGGAATCATGGTCGGAATCCGATGGGTCGTCGGAGTCTGAAGTTTGGGTTGAGCAATTTGAAGATTCTGTTACCTTTTTTTTAAGAGCATTTCAATGTATCTCGCTGTATTTCTATGTATTTCATTGTATTCACTATCTTTTTTTCCATTGTAATTCAATGTATCTCGTTGTATTCCATGTATTTCATTGTATTCAATGTCTTTTTTTCTCATTGTATTTCAATGTATTCCTCTGTATTCTATCTATTTCATTGTATTTTGCGGTTGAGAATCTTTTTTTATAACTGAAAAATACAAAATTTGTGTGTTATAATTGAGTTTGTTGAGTTATATTAGGAGTCTACTATGTTAATTGATTCACTTTCCGTTTTAAAAACAATGTAATCCCCTATTTCACGCCGTGAATACAATCGAATATAGTCGAATACAATAATCTGTCCAGCTGTAATCCCATGTTTACTCCATGAATACAGTCGAATACACTCGAATACAACAATTGATTAGCTGGACTTCCCTGATTCACGTCTATTTTTGCTACTTTATTCATGAATACAATAGCTCAAATACTTCAAATACATTTTATAACCACAGAAAAGGTGTCTATATTCCGTAATATAGCAAATGGTATCTATAGATGGCTAATTACTACTAAAAAGATAGAGCTTTATGAAAATTTCTCTTTATTTTTCCACTTTCCATCCAATATAGTCCTAGTTTTTTCTTTTGAAAAATCCAATCAAAATGGTACGAAATCAAATTCAAAAAGATGTCCGTTACAAATAGACCCCAAAACTTCCCTTTCCCCCTAATTCCCACCTCCATCAACTCTTTTTACACCTAGGGTTTTCAGGTTACCGTTAAACCCTAAACCCCACCAAAATTCATCCAGAAATGTGCCTATCAACAACAAAGGGCTTCGAGCCCATGTTAACAGAATCAATCAATCACTTCTTGGCCTCTTACAGAAATGGAAGTTCTGATTTCTCAAATTTTCAGTTCATTTTCTTTCGTTTGATACAAACAATGCCCGACCCGCCTCTTGAAATTACTTGGTTTTACTCTGCTGTAACTTTTCACACCTCAAAATCAGCTGGTTTTAGCAAAATCGTTGTCGCTAAAGACTTGTTTCACTTGCTAATTTCTTGCTCGGGTCCATGTAACGGGTTGAAAAAGATTGCTTTGCTTGCCCCTGTACTGTACGTTTTGTATGATGTAATATGCGAGTTTTCGCGTAATGGGTTGTGCTTGAATGGTGAAATTAGGGACTTGGTAGAGAAAATTGTTGGTTATATATGTATATGTTTAGGTGATAGCGACATCTTGAACGAGTTTGATGAGAATATTCTCTATTTTGAGGAATTAGTTGGGGTTTGGACAATTGATCGGGTTGAGTGTGCTAAATTTGACGAGAATTTAGGGGTTTTCTTTCCAATTTTGAGTGTTGAGGTTCATGAGGGTCGAAATATAAGGCATGGGATCAGGGATTTAGCTGGAATCGTAATATGTGAGGTGTTCTTGCTTAATTTGTCTATGAAGTTTAATATGGGGTTTGTAAATGAGGACGTCCAAAATGATGCGCGAAATTGGGCAATTCAGACTCTCAAGCAGTTCCAAAATTTTGAACACTTAGGTGAGTTCTTGCTTCTTCTTTTTTCCCCTTGAAAGAGGCCAAGTTTCATTACTTGAATATGCAGTGTAGCTTATTGTTTTTTCCCCTTACTGTTAATGTGTAATTCTTGTATAGTAACATCACCTTGCTATCCTGACCAGTCATAAAGCATAAAAAAAGTAAATCAAATTATGTAACAAGATGGACAGTAATGGCAACATAGTAGCAGGTCAAGCATACCTTCTTGTGGGGATTTATGAGGATAATTGTGTCATTTGGCTCACTAAAATTGATCCACTTAATATGCTTAGACTGTCTAATAACAAGAACCGAATAATATTAACGTATAGAACTTTCTTTGTAATGTCTTTCAAACTTTCTGTATATATGGGTCTTTATGATATTATGTCATGTTGTCTGCATCATATAAATAATTAAATATCATTGTTCTTGTATTTTTGTTTACTGTTCCATACTAAACTCCTTTTTTTCACCAATCAATTGAAGAACCAATTAACTGTAGCTGTTGCTGCAATGTTGAGAACAAATCGATTAACTCACTCCCTGAAAGAGAAGAAAACCATTGTGTTGAGGACAACCTTCTATCAATTTTGCTTATCACTAATCCCTTTACTTTATAACCCATTGGGTGTACACCCTTAGACTTTCATTTCTAGTATGAAGCCGTTAGGAGTTAGCTAGCCTTGGGGTCCAGTATATAAGGATCAACGTGTTCTCATTGCATGTGAATGGTCAATTTTGTAAAATCGTGCTTACCTATGGAAGTATATTTACTGAGTTAATTGGTAGTCCCACTTATATTTCTTTTGCTGGTAAAGCTGGAATTTATGGATATAAACTTTGATGTGCTTCTACGCTGCGAGTTAAGTTGGTTGTTTATGACTATAGTTGAAGGAACCTTTAATATTTTTGTACTTGTGTTGTTGTGACTTGGTTGAGGTTGTTCAATATTCTTGCCATCACCGTTTTACTTTCTTTAGGCTTTTTTTGGAGTTTGGTTGATGGTTTGTGAAAAGAAGCTGCTGCATGTGAAGTAAGGTTCAGCTACTCTTGGAATTTTATTTGACATATTCTAGGTATTCTTTGAAGAGTTCATTTCCTGGAAGTCCATTTCCTTTGAATTGCGATTTGTTTCCGAGCAATGCATTCTCTATTTAAATCTTCCATGTGCAAAATGATTTTTTTTTCTAATTAATCCCACCATCTAAACACACTAGTCCAATTTTCTTTATTTGTGGCTCCATATTCATGAAGTTCTCTATCTACTGATGCAATATTCTTTCCATGAAATCTCAATAGTTACATGCGCTGGAATTGCTACTCTTAGCTATCTATTAAGCTGTACGCATCATCATAATAGGGTGCATTTTCAGAGGGAACTTTGTACCTGAGCGGGAAAATTAAACAGCAGAATAATGATGTTCGGGAGGATACCTGAAGAAAAGCAGTTGTGTGCTTCCGGAAAACCAATATTGGCAAATGTATCATTCTTGATCTTCCAGCATCACTTATCCTACAATGCCATAAATGAGCATCTGTTTGAATCTTGGTGACCCGAGAGAGAGCAAGGGAGGGGAGAGTATTTGAACCTCCTATTACTAGATTCCTTGGCATTTCATATGGTTATTTATTTTGAGCTTTTGACTGCATTGCATGATAACCTTAGTAAACCGAATTAACTGCTTTTTTTGCTTGCTTCGCTTAAGCCAAGGCATGTATGTGACGCTTTGCATTGACAATTTTGGACTTGATTCATGATTGATTTGAGTTTTATTTGTAGATCTGCTTCTCAGAATTCTGTTGGAGAAAAGGCTGGTGGTCACTACCTTATTGGTACGTATTCATGACAACCTTCATTATCGCAAAGATTTAAGAGTGGATAGCATGTGCGGTGGCCCAAAAACTTCCATGCTGTGCTGTACTCCTCGATCTGTTTGTATGTGTGATACTTGTTTTAAGGATATCTCGTGCTAATGGAAATTTAAATATGCAGCTTAAGATGGATTTCTTTAAGGCTGACAAGTTCTTTTTTTTTTCTCTCAATATTTGTTGTTGCAGCAGAGTTCTGAAGATGCAGTTATTCTACAGAAACTATTGTATGATGCTGTGATACTGATTGATAATTCATTTCTAAGTTCTAGCAGATGGTTTCAGCTACCAGAATCCCACTTCAGGAACTTGGCTCTACTATGGTCCTTAGTAGCTGATAACGCCATACAGTTTGCTAGGTACGGAAAATTGCTGCTCTAAAATTTGAAATAAGCTTGATAACTTTTTCTCTGTGCTAATAAATCTGGGAATTGCTGGCTCTAGGGAAATATGTGATCAAGATAGGGTGCTTGCTTATGTAAATGCTTTCTCCGAGTCTCAGCTACCCAGCAAATTACTTAAATGGGTCTCTACCCGAGCTGGAACAGAAGAGAACCTGAGGAATCCAAAATTTACGACACCCAAAGCTCTCATAAGTACGTCTTTTATCTGGTTTTGCTAGTCATTTGAATACTTTGGATCTTTTTGGTTTTGCTTTTCTACTGGCTAAGTCACATATTTTGTGCTTTTCAAAATCAATAGCAAACCTACCTTGTAGATAACATACTACTATTATACTTAACTCTTCATTGCCATGTTTGTGTCTTCTAAGATACGTTGCCTATATCCACAGAATGGCTTTTTATCCTGGAAGACCAAGGTCTCTGGGTGTTTGATCACGACAAACTGAAGTTCCATGCCAAAGCGGCAATTTGTAATTCATTGCCAGACTGTTGTCTCCCTGAATCTAAGCCCGAATGCTGGACTGCTAAAGAGAGAGAGCGTAGGGAAGGCAAATACATTGGCGATGAGGAAATGGAAGATTCATTGGACAAACCAGTCTCTGCTGCTTACTTTTGTACAGATAAATTGCCTACTGATGGTGATAGAAAGCGCAAAGATCCACTGAAGGACACAGATATAAGAGGAACACCAGTCAAGCTTGTAAAGTATAATGTTCATGAAAGTATATAACTCAAATGTTGTATGACCGTCAGTTCTTGCCTAAGTAATTTCACTTTTCATCTTTTCTTGGAGTTTGCAACATCATTGGCAGAGAGTATATAACTCTTCCTGAGATTGATCCGCAATACTGCAATTTCCTCAAAAAGGAACAAAATTACCGTTAGGTTCTTCATCTGTACTTCATCTGCATCACACATAATGAGTGTGTTGTCTGCATATAAAACATGGGTAACCTTGATGTTTCTATGCTCCAAAGCACTTACCCTGAATCCCTAATCCATGATAATTCCATTGCTTTAAACACCAATCTGCTGAAACTTCCAATAACTAGCGAAAATAGGAAAATGGTAATAGGATCCCCTTGCCTTAAACCTCTACAGGCTGGAAAAAACCCATCTAGAGTACTATTGATTATCACTGAAGGATCTGCAATAATTTATACATATTATCTGGTCAGGAGATTACTGATAAGAAGGTTGGGTTTTCCTTTGGGAAGGCAATCCGGACACCTCATGAGATGGCAAACAACAATGAATAGCAAAAGACAAGGCGTTCTTGGAGTAAGTGATTTGAGACCACACAATAGGGCAGTCCGGTGCACTAAGCTCCCGCTATACGCGGGGTTCGGGAAAGGGTCGTACCACAAAGGTCTATTGTATGCAGCCTTACCCTGCATTTCTACAAGAGGCTGTTTCAACCGCTCGAACCCATGACCTCCTGGTCATGTGGCAGCAACTTTACTAGTTGCGACCACACAATAAAATCTCAAATTTGAATCGCTTTCAAGATAGAGAATACTTGTTGAAAAGAGTGATCAGATGTAAATATGGTAAAGAACATGACTGGTGGACTAAACCAGTTAGTCCAACTCATGGAGTCACAGTTTAGAAACATATTGAAAAGTCTATGCAAGGAATTCTTGGACAAGGTCATATAAAAATAGGCGATGTAAAAAGAGAAAAAATGTGTTTAAACAAATGAAAAAAAAGATCAATAAACGGATAGAAAATATATACCAGACCGAAGGGTATATGATTAGATTGAAGGAGCTCTAGTGCAGAATGCCTAAGTGGTGGGAACTGGATTTTCCAGTTTAGAAGGAGAATCAATGACCGGGCGATCAGTAGAGTGAATGCACTGCTACAACTCCTTAAGCCTTTTACTTTATGTACAAATCAAAGGGATATCCTGCAATTGACAGAAATGGCGATGGTTAGTTTTCAGTAAGATCATGCCTTACTGCAACGAGAATGTTATCAAGGTGCACTTAAAGCGCGCTTAAGCCCAGAAGCGAGGCTCAAAACGTGTTGAGCGCTTCGGCTCACTTAATGGGCGCTTGAGTGTTCTCATCATGTGACGACCCAAAGGGTCATCACCTGTTTTCTTACCCATTCTGTACTTCCGAGGCCTTAAAAACCTCATTTAGGGTTGCCTCGATTTGCATGCGCGTCCGGGCGCGTAGCCGGAAAGCTTAAATATGAATTATGTGTGAAAAATGCTAAATTTTGATATTAAATTGAATAAATTTGACTTCGGTCAACATTTTGGGTAAACGGACCCGGACCCGTGATTTGACGGTCCCGGAGGGTCCGCAGGAAAATATGGGACTTGGGCGTATGCCCGGAATCGAATTCCGTGGTCCCAAGCCCCAGAAATGAATTTTTGTGTGAAATTGTTTTCTGGAAATGATTAAGGAAAATGAAAATGAAATTTGATTAAAAGACTAGGGTATCGGGCCCGTATTTTGATTCTGGCGCCCGGTACAAGTCTTATATATGGTTTAAGCGCTTTTTGTGAAGTTTGGTTGAAATCGGACGTCGTTTGACGTGTTTTGGACTTAAAACTCTAGATTTGAAAGTTATGAGGTTTGAGGAAAAACTTGTGATTTGAGGTTTGATTCATTGTTTTTGATGTTATTTTGGCGATTTGATCGCACGGATAAGTCCGTAGGATGTTTTTGAGGTCGTGTGCATATTTGGTTTGGAGCCCCGAGGGCTCGGGTGAGTTTTGGATAGGTGTCGGAGTGCATTTTTGAACTTAAGAAAAATCTGGCATTTCAGTTCTGCAATTTTCGCAATTGCGAAGCAGGCCTCACAATTGCGAGCTCGCAAATGCGAGCCTGGAATCGCAATTGCGAGGAAGGGGGCACTGGGCTGTGGTCGCAAATGCGACCAATGGCTCGCAAATGCGAAGGGCCATTCTTCGAAAATGCGACTAGGAGTTCGCAAATGCGAAGTTCTCCCAAATGGCCTGAGTTCGCAAATACGAACAAAGATCTCGCATTTCCCATTTGCGAACCCACCTTCGCATTTCCCACATCTGAGGCCTGCATATTTTACACTTAGCCGAATTTTTCAGTCATTTTAACATTCTTTCAAAACACAAACCTCTTTGGGCGATTTTCCAAGAACAAGACTTCTTCCAAATCATTTGTAAGTTGGTTTTTACTCATTTCTTTCAATCTTTAACATCATTTAACATGTTTTCAACTTCAAATCAAAGATTTTCATGGGTGAAATTGGAGGTTTTGGGTAGAACCTAGGTTTTCTAAAAATTGGAGATTTGGACCTCAATTTGAGGTCCGATTTTAAAACAAATTGCATATTTGAGTTCGTGGGGGAATGGGTAACCGGATTTTGGTTCGAACCTCGGGTTTTGACCACGTGGGCCTGGGGGCGATTTTGGAATTTTTGGTAAAAACTTTGGGAAATTCATTTTTATGCATTCAAATTGATTCATTTAGTGTTTATTAATGTAATTAAGTAATTTGTGGCTAGATTCGAGCGGATTCAAGGTGGAATTACGGGTTCAAGCCATAGTTGAGGCTTGAGTTGAGTTCAAGGCATCGAGGTAAGTGTTTGGTTTAACCCTAGCTTGAGGGAATAAGAGTTGAGTCTTATTTGCTACTTGCTAATTGTCGGGTACGATGTATAGGCACGGTGATGAGTATCTATACATTGGTGTCTAGCATGACCGCGAGTCCTTATTTTGCGAATAGTTTGGATTTTGTTATACTTTCCATGCTTAATTGATGACTTCCATATATTGTAAATATCTTGTGAATGTGATCTTTGAACTTCGTGGAGTGTTGGTTCGAGCTGAAACACAAATTGTGAAGGTATATGAGATAAGTAAATCTTTGGAGTATTGGCTCGAGTGATAATGTGAACTATGTGATAAAAGTGAAAGAAAGAGAAAGAGTTATTGATCTATTCCCTTGCCGGGACGTTGTTGATTATTGAATATTTTTCCTTGCCGGGACGTTGAGATTATTGATGTTGTACCCTTGCTGGGATTTAATTATTTTATTGTGTTCCCTTGCTGGGATTTCTATTATTATTTTGTTTATTCCCTTGCCCTTGTTTGTGATTGTTGTTTGGGTGAGGAAGAGAGTAAAGCACGAAGGGTGATGCCGTGCATTATTTGTTTATTGTGAGGAAAGAGTGTAAAGCACGAAGGGTGATGCCGTGCATTGTTTGTTTATTGTGAGGAAAGAGTGTAAAGCACGAAGGGTGATGCCGTGCATTGTTTGCTATTGTGAGGAAAGAGTGTAAAGCACGAAGGGTGATGCCGTGCCGCACGATGTACCATTCCGTGCCAATTCTATTGATTATATGTGAGGAAAGAGAGTAAAAGCACGAAGGGTGATGCCGTGCACATTTTGTTATTCTAATTGCTTGGTGAGGATACGAGTAAAAACACGAAGGGTGATGCCGTGCATTTGTCTTTGATTTTCCTGATTTCTTTGTTGATAATTGAGTTATGTTGTCCTTTACTTATATTTATTGATTTCGTTGTTGTTATCAGTTCAAGTGCATTACTTGTCTTATTCCATTATTTCTGTGATTCTTTACGTCGACATTTCCCTTTATCGTGTTACTTGTTATTATTGAACCAAGGTGTCCTGGCGTAACGTTATGTCTTGAATTCATGCCTTAATTGCTACATGATTATGTGACCTAACTGCTACGTGACATTCAACATATAAATTACTAAATTACCTAATTACCCCCTTATAATCCATAATTAATTGCTATTTGTCATTATTTGTTTTCCTTAGAACATCATAAGTTTTGTGTACTTATTGTCTTATGAACTCGTATTAATTGTTGCGTTTGTTAGAGTAAATTTTCTTTTAGAGGAACTGCTGAATTATTGAAATGGGAGCGGGTGGTACGCCTACCACGAGATATTGAGAAATGGGATCGGGTTGCACGCCTGCAACAAGATGAGTTGATATGAAAGTTGCCTTATCTCTTTATTTACTGCTAGAAGTTAAATTGTAGATGTACGCTTTATTATTCCTGAAATTTTATTTCTAACTGTTGCCCCTGAAGCATGCTCCCTTCCCCAGCCTAAATTGTTATTTTCTTGTTACTTTTCCGTTGTACTTGTATATATATCTGCACAGGTTTATTTGGTGGTCTGGTCCTAGCCTCGTCACTACTTCGCCGTGGTTAGGCTAGGCACTTACCAGCACATGGGGTCGATTGTGCTGATACTACACTCTGTGCTATTTTGCACAGATCCTAGGCCTCAGCAGCAGCAATAGAGTGGGGGCAGGCTTTCATCCCAGTGAGACCCGAGGTAGCCTTGCAGGCATTCGCAGGCCCTGACGTCTTCTTTCATCTATATTCCTGTTTCTTTCATGTATTTCTGGAGACAGTGTCGAGTTATTTCTTTCAGACCTTTATGTGTAGTACTCGTAGACCGTCTGTGAAATTGTGACTCCAGTCTTGGGTAGAGGCTTTTGTTGAGATTTTCGCATTTTTATTCAGCTTTCTATAACATTGAGACTTCCGCTTAGTATTTCACTTCGTTGCTTTTGTATCATTGCCGATAATTGTTAAAAGGAATTATGTTGTTAATGAAAAAGCGATTAAATTTGGCTTGCCTAGCTCCCATTAGTAGGCGTCATCACGACTCCCGAGGGTGGGAAATCCGGGTTGTGACATGATAATAGGTGAATTTGACTATAATCATACCTTAAATAATCACCTTCTTGTGTAGTTTTAATGCTAAAAGTGATAACAAAATGCTCTTATTAGTGCTTTTCATGATTTGCAGGTGATATATGTATAAGGAAGGCTAAGGAGCAGTTTTGGAGTCAAAATTGGAGAAAAGA